CATCGGTTAGGTCCAGCATGCAGAGCACATCGGAGCTTCTCCTGCACAATGCGTAGCTCAGTGCTGTAAGCAAAATCCGTGATGCGATTGCCATCGACCTTCTTCTTTGCGACCTCGGGGGGCGTAGGATTCTAGAATAAAAAATCAATTGGGTTTGTGTTCGGGTGAGGTGGCCAACACACCAAGTGAACAATAACCATGACAACCTCCTTCTGACGGCGAGTGCTACTCTTCATCTTTGTTAGTGTCTTGAATGCATTGTTGATATCGGCTGGGGTGGACAGCTGATGGGCTGGAGCGCGCTTTGGCTCGTCATTAGTCTTCCATCCAAGCTGTGCAGCAGTGGGATCAAGGTTCATGGCAGCAAAGATGCGGTCCAGGAAGTCGCCACATGGAATCGCAGTGGAGAAGTCGATGTCTCGAGTTAAGGAGTTGTTGATAGGAATGCGAACGGTGACTTGAGTGTCTAGTCAAATCAGTTTCATCAATGCACCCCGCACAATAACAAAATACCTGTCTCTTTATACGCTTGTGTCTGCTCCTGGCATCTGAGCTGGGGGTCAATGTTCTCTTCATCGGAATCATCTGGAGAGTTGTGGTTAAGTAGATGCATTGCAGCAGCAACAGCGACCTCCTGGGGACGAGGAGGAGGCATAGGACCCATTCCAAGGAGATATGCTGCTCGTTGAGCAGGCTCTCGTTGCGATCGAGGAGGATGGGCGAAGTGATTTGGATAAAAGTTGGAAGCCATGTTTGTTGAAGAGCGCATCGACGTGGGTCTTTTATAGTAGCCTAATCTCCACAAATCGCGAGGGTTGATGATGTAGTATATTGCGATGACATACTGGAGCACTAAAGCAAGCTAGAACGTGGAGCGATGGGCGGGAAACTCACAATGGGCGTCATGATTGGCATAGCCACTGCCGTTTATGTACAAACAAGGGCGCAAAGTGAAAATTCAGATGTGGTCTACGATTATGCAGTTAGCTGTAACAAAATGTATTAGATTTCGTTCTGCTACATACAACAAATCAAAACGACATGCATGAAGACAAACAAAGCAACAACAAAACATATGTGAAGACGCAACATTCAAATTTAATGTGTGAACGCCACTAGAAAGGACAGAATTGCTATGGACAGCAGGTGTTTCGTTTTTATGAACTGGGATAGAATGTAATGGTCATGTACATTTTGATTACTCACCTTACATCAAGTCTTCACGTAGTACGTGAAGACTCGATACTAGTACATGAAGACTCGATGTTCAAATCTAATGTGTGAACGCCATCAGAAGGGTACAGAATTGCGAGAAACGGACGTATACACTATAGACAGTGGGTGTTTCGCATTTACAAGCTGGGATAGGATTGTGAGGAATAAGGCGAGTACTTATGTTACTTTGTTCATCCTACGCAATACCGATCACATGCTATACATGGATATCTCACTGCATTCTAGACACGGAAAGCTTCCATTATCTGGGTCTCTGCTCTCAAGAGCCCAAAACATCGGGAAAAGAGGGCACAATTTCTCTAAAAACAACAAGCATAAGAATATACCTTTGAACTTGAAAAATACGAGCATGTACTGACCTTCTTCAATCAGCTTTACAAGTGCTTGAACCCCATAAAGCAAGAGAATGTGCATATGATGTTGGGTGGGGAAACTATAGCTAAGTTTACGAGAAGGGAGAACAGTGCTCTGTATGAACTCTGTATTGTCGAAGGGTCAGCCGCGGCGCTCATTATGAAGAACTAGAGGTTGTACCTAAATATGCCCCCATAGCCCAGCGGAAAGTATAGACAAGTCAATAAGCAAGTCAAAACAAGGTAAGTAATCAATAGGCTCAGAGTTCGATCCCCGCTAATAACAACTGTTCCATAATAATTAGTGTTTGAAAGTCCGGTCCGGTCCGGTTATTGAGCCCTTGAGGGCTCTAACCGAGACCAAGACCGGTTACCTTGTGCGACGAAACCCAAAATAACCGAACCGGACTGCTACTAACCGATATAATCGGTTAGTAACGGTTAGCGGTCAGTTACATGACCGGTCCTGACCGGTTATTTCTCTGTACTAACATAATTACAAACCTATATTATATTTCTAATACAAGCATTATGCTGCATGCACCAGCGAGGCGTGTGTAGGTGAAACACCGCCTCACACGATTTTCATAAACAACCTCGCAGGTCGAGTACACCCGACCTGTGAGCGTTTCTCATGGATCGCCATTGTTGTATCAATGTCACATTATCACACATGTGACGACAGGAAAATAGTCACTTAAATTTCAATTCACCGTAAATATGTCAATTCTCCACTAAAAAATATGATTTTTGGATCGTTAGAAAGCGTTTAAACACGTGAATATTTGTGTGCAACGTTAGGACACAAAGACCGGTTATAACCGGTCCTAACCGGTTTTTGTTTGGTCTTGAATATTTTGGGATGACACCTAACCACTAACTGGACCGCGGTTACGGTTAGGATCGGTTAGGTAATTTTTGCGGTCCTGATCGGTTACGGTTCGGTCCAGTCTCGGTTATTTTCCGGTTAACTAACCTAACTTCCAAACACTAGTAATAATAAGACAACTAACTAGTAAGAAACGCACACATTACAATTGAGCTAGGAGCTCACTACAAATTTTCGATTCATTTACAATTATCTGGTACCTTATAATTTGTCCCTATGTATTATAGTACATTTCTCCTTGATTATAATTGGATTACAATTCGTTCCTGTGATTACCTGCCTTACCTGCCTTATAAGGCTTCCTGGGTTTTTCCGACATGACTGTCAAACGGAGTCTCCCCTATCCGTATGCAGAGTGGTTACGAACGGGTAGATGGGTGGTGTTTTGCAGATGGAAGGCAGAGCAAAAAGGCTGACCGACGAAAGGCTTCGATTGTAAGGCTGTTGGCAATGTAAGCATCCGGGAGGCTCGGAGGCTCGGTTTAAACCACGGGTGCTTCGGGGTTGAAAGGATTCTCGGACCCCTATTGACGGCTACAGAACAAAGACAACACCGACGATTCTTCAGATTGAAAGACTCATCCGAGAATCGGCGCAACGGAAGACGATCAATGGGGAGTCGATGCCCGTTACGAAGGATGGTTGGTTGAACCTCGTGTCAGGGGCAGTGGGGAGGTCGAACAGCTGAAGGTGATGTATCTAACTGTCGCAGCTCTCCCCCCGTCTCACTTTCCTTATAAGGAAAGTTGATCGTTTGGGGGAGGATATAGTACATAACGAACAGTAGAAATATATGCCAGTTTGGTGTAGTGGTTATTTGTGCAGGTTTCTTGGTGCTTACCAAAGTGTTCGGGGTTTGATTCTGCTTCCTCCATTTTTTTTTCTACTTAAAACAATTACTTTACAGGAAAATTTTCTCTCCGCGCGGTAGCGCGTTCGTGTTTTTGGTTAAGTTAGGAGGTTAGGTTAGTTGTTAGGGTTGGGGTTGTTTTTCTCCCCGCGCGGTAGCACATTCTCAGTTAGGTTAGGTGGTTCGGTTAATGGTTAGGGTTGGGGATATTTTCCTCCCCACGTGGTAGCGCGTTCTCGGTTAGGTTAGGTGGTTAGGTAGTTAGGTTAGGTGGTTAGTTAGGTTAGGTGGTTAGATGGTTAGGTGGTTAGGTGGTTAGGGTAGTTTATATGCTCGAGAACGCGCGTTAGTGTGCTCTCGAGCCGACTTAGGGCAATGGCACATTGCCCTAAGTCAGGTTAGGTGGTTAAATAGTTAGGGTAGGTTAGGTGCTCAAGAACGCGCAGTAGCGCGTTCTCAAGCACGACTTAGGGCAATGGCACATTGCCCTAAGTCATAATATTGCCATATATGGAGTGCCGGTGATTGCCAGCACATCACATGTGTGAGACGGGGGGAGACGTACGACACTTACCCTTGCCTATTGGTTCCGCCGCTTCAGACGCCTGAGACTTGCCCCGAGCAAGCAAATTGGATACGCCCTTCCTGACGGCCTCAAGCAATGGCGTGACACTGTTGCGGACTTCCTTCCTGACGTAATTGACCTTCTCTTGAGTTGGGGAGGTCCTTCTGCTCAATGATGTTTGCCAGTTCCGTTGATGTAAGGGATGTCATGAGGACGGCATACGTCTGTTGAATCTGAGGTTAGATGGCGTGGAGGTGGTTTGGAAACTTGAAGGGCATGAGGCGGTTGACGACTGCAGTTTCACCATGTTGTCAGACAGGACATGAATACAGTGCTGAGCGGATGAGATAAAAGAAGAGGCGAGAGTGGTGATGGACTGTGCGGTATGACTGATGAGGATGTGAGTCTCAGACGATGAAAAGAGATAACATTGAAAGATATGGGGGGACTGACTGTGCTTGAAGTTGTTTCGTCTGCTCCGCTGAGATGTTGTCCTTGACCGTCCGGGGAAGAGCAACGGCTCGCTGGTACTGGTACCAGTACGATCGACCAGTATGGCGTTTATTCTGCACAAAAAATATGTGCCCCCCAAATTGTGGTAAATGCCCGGATTAAAGGCCTGCTCAATTCTAGGCAGTTCAGATCAGATGCCTGTCCTTTTGATTTTGTACGGTTTTGTCCAGTGTACATAGTAAATAAAAGATATTCTGTGAGAAGTTACAATAATTTTTCATGTGATTTCAAGGGCCCTCGCTAAAATTACCTGCAGGATTTATTCTTACAGCTATTAAATCCCCACTTACAGCTATTACATCCCCACTGGGGCCTTCTGCTCTGTAAATTCTGCTTTGCATTCAGCGTAAGTTTAGTGTTTGAAAGTCTGGTTCGGTCCGGTTTTTTGATGCCCAGGGGCGTTAACCGTAACCGTAACCGGTCTGCCTTTTCCCCAGAAGTCAAAAGACCAGACCGGACCGCAAAAAGACCGCAGACCGCGGTTTTTTGCAGTCTATAGACTGGTTTCGGTCTGCATCAGTTTTAACCGGTTTATGACCGGTCTTTAGGCCAATATTTTAAAATTATGAATCGGTAAATTTATTAACATCTCTAATAGCTTCAAAACGAGCCCAAGAACGTTAAATTCCATTAGGAATTGGTGCTTCTATAAAATAAGTTTGGTACATCTATTATTCCCAAAAGTAATTTACATTTTAATTCATATCTCTCTCGTTTTTTTACCAAATCGTACGTTCTTGGGTGCGTTTTAAAGGGTATTTAAGGGGCTACAAAAGACCGGTTCACGTTAACCGGTTTTTTTGCGGTCTTTACATTTCAAAAATAAAAGACCGTAACCGCAGGTCCGGTCTTTTGCGGTCTTGGTCCGGTCTGGTTACAGTCTTTTTCCAGTCACGAGACCGGACTTCCAAACACTACGTAAGTTACTGTCAAGGGGGTGCCGGCATTGAAAAAAAAGACCCGGGGTCGATTTTTTTTAAGGCAACTTGAGATGGACTAACTAACTAACGTAATCAGGAACATGTCTATATATAGTAATATGACATCATTTGTGAGTGCTTTCCCCTGCGTCTTGCACAAGTCATGCAGGCACAATTCCGGGGTGCTTGCACATGTTCCACACATTTTAGATGGAACTAGGCAAATAACATGAGTTGGAAAATCACTCAGTTCTCATAATACAATGTACTTACCTAGTGTGTCTCGCATACCTTGTTTGCATATGAGGATTTGATGAGGATACACAGCTACCACAAATTGCGAAGCCCTCTGCATCAATGGCAAGTGGCTCCATCTCAATGGTGTGATACATAGAATGTGTGAAACCAATGTTAGACATACTGTAGATTTTAGGATATTGTTGGTCAATGGTAATTCAAGTAATGTCAAAAAAAATTGAAAAAAATGCCCAAATATGGCAGGAATTAATGAATATCTTATATCACAGTGCTTGATGGCCTCTATTGGAGCTGTATTCCTCTCAGTACATTCTGTAGTTACCATATTATGCTGCAAGGTACTCAACTTGATGATTGAAGGCCTTCTGCCCAAGGCATCCTCTTTTTTTTTTTCACAGCCTGTGGCTGGACTAACTAACCGGGTCCCAGTACGGGATTCCCAGGCCAGCACCCCCTTGGTTACTGTAAGTATTCTACTTTGTGTAAGTATTTCTGCTTTGTGCAAGTAAGTATCCACCTTTCGATCCAAAAGCGCTGGTGACTGGCGCCCTGAGACCAGAGGACTTCCAAATTCACTCATCCCAATTGGGAAGATGTTGGATTGACCTGATCTGATCTGAACTGCCTAGAATTGAGCAGGCCTTAAAGTTGTTTGTAGATGTGCCACCGAATCAAAAAATTTTAAAATGACCTATTATACTATTTTGAATGCCCAAATTGCATAAAAACAAGTGCCGCACTCAATTTGGTGTTGTGGAGTGAGGTGCTGTGCACCAAATCAAGTTTGGACTTTGTCAAAATTTGGCAGGGTCAACTATATTTTCGAGCTCAGGGGGTGGGGGAAGAAGATTGAATGTACAAATTTGGTATTGTTAGAATCACATTAATGTCCTCTATCAATCTATATATATTAGAGAAGCACTGGTGGTAGTGTAAATATTTTATTGCAGCAAGAGACTTCTGAATGATGTTGGAAGGGCCAGGCAAACAAAGGCAAACAGTCCAATAGTTCTACAAGTTCATGCTACAAAACATGGGGGAAGAAGCTTGAATAATAAAACAAGCTGGCATAGTAATCTAGAAGCAATTTTGTTTCTACTGATACTATTTTTAAGAGCACCAGTAGTCTGTGGCCAAGTGAATCCAATGCTCTGCTGGTTTCTCTGGGTTGTCACACTGTCACAAGTGTGATCTTTTGTGGTGTGTGGATCGTTGATTCGATCCAGAGTGCTTTGAAGTGCAATTCTGTTCTTAAGATTCAGCCAAAAGTTACAGAGAAAGTGAACTGTATGTTGAAAAAAGTAGCTATAGGTTACTCACTGAGAGTAGAAATATAAGGAGAGAGAGGGTGTTGTGGAAAGTGACAAGACGATGTGACTTTGTACAATGATTGGAGGATTGAGAGGATATTAGAGAGAGATTATGGTAGAATATCAGCTAGTATGAGAGAAATGATGCAATAAGAGAGTGGGTAAGTGTGATGGAGAGAGATGCAATTGTGATGAGGAGACATAATGCTGATTGCGAGTGAAGTGAGAGTAGATGGATATGATTGTGAGGCAAAGAGAGTATTGTGGAGAGAGGGGACACTATGGTGATTAAAAGTTGAGATTATGGGAACTAAAACTCCAAGGGTCACCAAACAATAGGTTGTCAAATGAAACATTCAGGGCATTGGCAGTAGGAAGATTGACCTGAGTTGAAGGAGGGGTGGGGATCTGAGCCATTGAACTCCATTCCATAGTCACATCAGCATCTGTAGGTGAATTGGATTACCCAAATTCAAATCATAGAACAGATGGCATACCTTTGGTACTGGCATCAGGTATTATGTCGGACTGTCCAGCTGCATATGATGATGGTCCAGCACCACTTATCTGTGTATAGTCTGGAAACTCAATCCCAAATGCGACATGAAACTTCTTTCCTGTGGAGAGATGTAAGCATGATGAGAAGTAAGAAGAGAAGCAAAAACTCGCTTTCTAAATTCTTAGGCACCACTCTGACCAATGTCTCCCATTGTTCCTTCTTGTAAAACTGTACTGAACAATGAGTTAGATAAGCCATCTAGAGATAGAAAAGTAAGTTAGTCTATCAAAGAAATCAAGAGAAAACACACCTGTGATGCTGCAGCACCAAAGTTTAGAGTAATAGCTCGTTCAGTAGTTGAGAAGTTCTTGAGCTCCAACATCTTAATTGAGGCTGGGTTCTGGTTCTTCTTAGAAGATGAAAACATAGGAGGATAGAGGGGAGTTTGGCCACCCCTGTTGCCCTGCTTCCAGTTGCAAGTGTTCTTCAGCTGGACAACATGGCCATCCTGTGCTCCAGAAGACTTCTCTTTGCTTTTTGAAGCATCTGCCCAAAGCACTTGGACCTTAAGACTCAGATAGCCATACAGAGGAGTGCAAAAAGAATGAAGGTTCGGTCATTTTCTGGTTCTTTCTAAGAATCTATTGTTACCTCAAATGTATTTGTGTATTCTTTTACATTATGTAGTTGTATTACACTTCCCTTGGTATGGACTTATTTCAGTGAAAGCTGGGGCCTTGAGAAGGTTTTTATTCTGGTGACATCTGAAAAAATAAATATGCGCTAACTGGGGAGGTAGCCAGAACATACCTCTGGTTAACCTGAATGAGCCTATCAAAGAATCAGTTAAAAATACTGAGCAGTTATGCCTCCAGAAAACAGTCATTTTGTGCTATTTTGGTCATTTTTGGCCTGTTTTAAACAATACAAGCCATTTTCCAAAGCCTCTATAGACTAACTGCAGTATTTACATGCTTTACTTTTTATATAACCCATTTATTTTTCAGAGTAATAATGGTTGAGATACAAATGGTTTATATTGGTATAATAAATTATACGCAAAAAAACTGGTCTGGATCGGTCTGAACCAGCTCCATAGACCACAAAATACTGGTCCTAGGTGGTTTGGTTTGGTTCCCTCAATATCTGGGTCAGTCCTAGACCAGTTGCAATCCATGGTTGTGCATTTTGGGGGCAAAAAACTGGACTGAACTGAACTTGCGAACACTAGTGTTGACACTCTGTACATCATGTCATGGGCCTGTTGTTGAGCTTTCATATGAGGAAGCATGTGTATATAAATTTATTTCTATGCAATATACATCTGGAGGAGGTCAGAATCGGCAGGACTAGTAATTCACCCCAAAGCTGAACCAGGGGGGTCAGAGTTACACCCAGTTCAGCAATCAATTCATGTGAATTAAAATTTTGGAATCATTATTGCACCAGATCTTGAATTGTTGCTGAATCATGCTGAATCATTCACCCTGACTCCCCCTAATAGCACAAAACATACACAGAATACAGGAAATCATACCAACCATCAATAATGATCCATGATGTACCAATTCTGAAACTTTTCAATCATAAAACATATCTGAGCTATATTTAGATTTGTAATAAAACTCAAACATTCTGAATCCTAAAATAGCACAGATTTCAAACATTAGCAAGCTATTTTCAATTTTTATCCTCTGGGGAAACCTACATAAATTGCGAAAACAATGAAATAAAATAAATATCCTAACAGCAGAAATTTATGGAAAACAGGGCCAGTGGATGTTGGCAGCTCCTGGGCTATAGGGATTTGTGCCAGGATCCAGGGCATTTTGGTATTTTAGTACAGCCTAGGCTGTGGGTGTGAGGAACATGAGGCTACACACTGTTAGTAGTACCACAGAACTGCACATTGTCAGCAAAACTGGTGGGAGTGGTGGATGCAGTAGCAGTAGGGGAAGTTGGAGTGTTGGTCATTAGAAGATGTCAAAAGTCAAAAAAAAAATTGTGAGATGACTGACAGGTAATTTCTTAGCATCAGTGCCAGATGTGAAGGTGATGGGAAACACACTCCCAGAAACATAGACATATATTGGTACCTACACATGAGTGAGATGTCTGGTTCTGATGCAGACATTATCTTATCCTAAGATGAGTTTGCACTCATGCCTCATGAAAACCTTCTCCCAAGTGTGGAAAAAAAATGGACTGGGAATAAAGATGTAACTGGTGAGCTGTGAGCAAGCTGATGTGGGTGTCATTAAGACAACAACAGTGGGCTGGTGAACATATGTGTGAATTGGGTTATTGAGGTGTGAAGACCAATCTCATGACTCAGTCTATCATTTGTTTTGCTTAGTGGAGACCATAGGTGCTTCAGATATTCATCACATAGTCTCTGCTCTCCTTCAGGAAATCCTCAAAGGAGTTCCAAGTAAAGGATCGTTGAGCTGATAGAGTATTCAGCATCTTGTCAAACTCAAGTCACTTCTATACTCTCAAGCAAAGTGTGGTATGACATACTTCTGGGCAAGGGTATGTGCAGTGGTGATTTGAAGAATAAAGAAAGATGAACTAGATACACATATAACTATGGAACAACTTGAGTCATGATGTTGCATAAGCAAAAGTAATGTTAAAGTCTGACTTGTATACTGAATGAAGAGAAGCGGAAGACTGAGATGTTTGTTGGATAAAATGAAAATCATTAGTATGCTTGCCTAGACCTGGGCATCTGCTACAAATACATGAGAGTAGTTCAAAAAGAATTACCAAACTATACCTTTTCTCTGAAAATTCACTGTTGTATCTGGAAGAACTGCTTGGAGTGGATCATTTGAAACAATCTCTGTGGAATGCAAGTTTTGTTCAATGGGAACTGTGCTTTCTGTGCATTAAGAACTTGAATGTCCTGTGCTTCTTGAATATTGGCCATAGTTACAATTGTATGAGATTCTGCTTGAAGAGCTCTGGTATTGAATTCAAAAGCTTGGGTCTCCAATTTCTCTGCTTCTTTGTACCTTGCCAGATTTTTATATGTTATTGCTAATTTTCTCATAGCTAGAATAGTGTCTGGGTGTTCCACTCCAAACATTCTATTCATTGATTCCAGAACTTGTATTTCCAGCTTCTCTGCCTCTGTGTATTTTTCCATACATCCAGATGTTGCTGCTAGATTTGCCATGGCATTGATTGTATCAGGGTGTTCCACCCCAAGAATTCTATTTCTTGCATCCAAAACTTGCATCTCCAGCTTCTCTGCTTCTGTGTATTTTCCCAAGTTTCGATATATTGCTCCAAGATTTGCCATGGCACTGATTGTATGTGGGTGTTCCACTCCAAGAATGCTGTTTCTTGCATCCAAAACTTGCATATCCAGCTTTTCTGCCTCTTTGTATTTTTCTAAGTTGTGATATGTTGCTGCTAGATTTTCCATGGCATTTATTGTATCTGGGTGTTCCACTCCAAGAATTCTATTTCTTGTATTCAGAACTTGCATGACCAGCTTTTCTGCATCTGTGTATTTTCCCAAGAGTTGATATGTTGCTGCTAGACTCTCCATGGCATTGAGTGTATGTGGATGTTCTACTCCAGGAATTTCATTCCTTGCATCCAGAACTTGCAAATCCAGCTTCTCTGCCTCTATGTATCTTCCCAACTTTCGATGGGTTGCTGCAAGAGCTTCCATGGCATCAAATGTATCTGGATGTTCCACTCCAAGAATTCTGTTTCTTGCATCTAAAACTTGCATTCCCAACTTGCCTGCCTCTGTGTATTTTCCCAAGTTTTGATATGTTGCTGCTAGATTTGCCATGGCATTTATTGTATCTTGGTGTTCCACTCCAAGAATTCTGTTTCTTGCATCCAGAACTTGCATCTCCAGCATCTCTGCCTCTGTGTATCTTACCAACTTTTTATATGTCACTGCTAGACTTGCCATGGCACTGATTGTTTCTGGGTGTTCCACTCCAAGAACTTTATTTCTTGCATCCAGAACTTGCATCTGCAGCTTCTCTGACTCCGTGTAGTTTCCCGAAGTATAATATGTTGCTGCTAGATTTGCCATAGCATTAATTGTATCTGGGTGTTCCACTCCAAGAATTCTGTTTCTTGCATCCAGAACTTGCATCTGCAGCTTCTCTGACTCTGTGTAGTTTCCCGAAGTATAATATGTTGCTGCTAGATATGCCATAGCATTAATTGTATCTGGGTGTTCCACTCCAAAAATTCTGTTACTTGCATCCAGAACTTGCCTCTGCAGCTTCTCTGCCTCTGTGTATTTTCCCTGAAAATAATATGTTGCTGCTAGATTTGCCATGGCATTAATTGTATCTGGGTGTTCCACTCCAAGAATTCTGTTACTTGCATCCAAAACATGCATCTCCAGCTTCTCTGCCTCTGTGTATTTTCCCAAATTTCATATGTTGCTGCTAGATTTGCCATGGCATCTGATTGTATCTGGGTGTTCCACTCCAAGAATTTTGTTGCTTGCATCCAAAACTTGCATCTCCAGCTTCTCTGCCTCTGTGTATTTTCCCAAATTTCCATATGTTGCTGCTAGATTTGCCATGGCATCTGATTGTCTCTGGGTGTTCAACTCCAAGAATTTTTTTCTTGCATCCAGAACATGCATCTCCAGCTTCTTTGCCTCTGTGTATTTTCCCAAGTTTCCATATGTGGCTGCTAGATTTGCCATTGCTCTGATTGTCTTTGGGTGTTCCACTCCAAAAATTTGTTACTTGCATCCAGAACTTGCATCTCCAGCTCCTTTGCCTCCATGTATTTTTTTAAGTTTCGATATGTTGCTGCTAACTTTGCCATGGCATTGATTGTGTGTGGGTGCTCCACTCCAAGATTTCTCTTTCTTGCATCCAGAACTTGCATGCCCAGTGCCTCTGCCTCTGTGCAATTTTCCAAGTTGCCATATGTTGTTGCCAGATTGGCCATGGCAGTGATTGTGTCTGGGTGTTCCACCCCAAGAGCTCTGTTTCTTGTATCCAGAACTTGTATCTCCATCCTCTCTGCCTCTGTGTATTTCTTCAAGTTTCCACATGTTGCTGCTAGATTTGCCATGGCATTGATTGTGTCTGGGTGTTCCACTCCAAGAACTCTGTTTCTTGCATCCAGAACATGTGTCTCCATCTTCTCTGCCTCTGTGTATTTCTTCAAGTTTCCATATGTTGCTGCTAGATTTGCCATGGCATTGATTGTGTCTGGGTGTTCCACTCCAAGAATTCTGTTGCTTGCCTCCAGAACATGCATCTCCAGCTTCTCTGCCTCTGTGTATTTTCCCAAGTTTCCATATGTGGCTGCTAGATTTGCCATTGCTCTGATTGTTTCTGGGTGTTCCACTCCAAGAATTTATTCCTTGCATCCAGAACTTGCATCTCCAGCTTCTTTGCCTCCATGTATTTTCCCAAGTTTCCATATGTGGCTGCTAGATTTGCCATTGCATTGATTGTGTCTGGGTGTTCAACTCCAAGAATTCTGTTGCTTGCATCCAGAACATGCATCTCCAGCACCTTTGCCTCTGTGTATTTTCCCAAGTTTCGATATGTTGCTGCTAGATTTGCCATTGCATTAATTGTGTCTGGGTGTTCAACTCCAAGAATTCTGTTGCTTG